TTTTTTAAGTTTTGAAAACACTCGTGAAATTGATCCTTAATTTTACTCGACCCCATATGATTACCTATACTTACCATCTTCTGCTGTTTCTTTTTGTTTTGAAGCTGTTAAAACACCATCTTTGATTGTATAGGCCAACATTTTAAAAGAGTACAGAGTACACTTGCTCAGTCCAGTCAGCACATAAGACCGAGTCGTATTACCAGATAAATCCTTCTCTGAGGATTTACCAGTTTTTTCGTAGTGCAACTTGAACCCTCTTATGATACCATTTGTTTCACGTGGTAAAGTCCAATTCAGTCGAACAGCAGTAGAACTAAGGACGGTGACTTGGAAGCTTTGTGGCTGCCCGGGAGCTGTTTAGAGTAGATATTTCATTCATTAACAAATTCAAATAATTAAATTGATTTTTTACTGACTAAGGACCGAAACGTCAGTAGGGTTACAAACGTTTTTTACACTGTCCTTAAGTTTCCTTTCACTCCTTGATCAATAAATCGGAGTCCAGTTTCAAAAGATAAGATAAGACTTAAAAATAGAGTGAAGCGCAAGGAATACTGATTGATGGCATCAGGTAATGGCAAATCTTGGGTCGTGCGTGGGTTCTATGGTCAACTGAAACACAAGTTGTTCTCTTACTCGATACGACAACAGCAACAGCAGCAGCAGCAGCAACAGCAGCAGCAGCAACAGCAGCAGCAGCAACAGCAGCAGCAGCAACAGCAGCAACAGCAACAACCATGTAATAATATTCCATCAATATTTTACATGAAAATATTAAAAATATATATTAAAAATATATTTAAAATATTTAAATGCTTAATTTATATTTTTACTATATAAATTTAGCTTTTAAACGCAATGGTTTTCAGAATAATTATGGAAAGCTAAATGTCTGAAAGCCAGGTTTTGGTTTTTGATTCTCCGGTTTTTGCTTTTCATAAACTGAAATGTAATTAGTTGAATGTTTTGTGTTGTAAATATAAACCGTAAAGGGTGAAGTACGTAGAGAGAACCTCACTGAGATTGATAGGTTATAAAACATTCAGTCATAAAGTCATAAAACACAGTGGTATTTACCGAATGAGAAAAGGGACTATTTGTAATGTCTAAAAGATATTTTGTGAAACTAAAACTAGGATGAGTTTTACTTTCTTTATTTTTCAAGGAAAAGCTGTAGTTTATTGAAACTAAGAAATGTGGATACAACTAAAATTACAATGAACCTTATTTTCAAGGGAATGACAAGTCCGCTGAAATGGGAAAACAGTGCGCCCAAGTTAAATTTGGTTCATTTGAGTGTGTTCTTGAACAACGATAACAGAACAAGGAAAGAATCGATTTTTGAGATATCCTTTGCACAGCGTAGAATAGTAATGTGATATAAATCCATCTGAAAGAACTTACCATCTTCAAATGTTCGCCTAAGCACGTAGCTATGGATAGGTCCATCTCCCTTATCGTTACGTATGACCACTGTGACGTTGTACACTGTCCACTTTCTCAGACCACTGAACGTGTGACTTGTTTGTTGAGGAGTTGCAGTACTTTTACGTATATCACTTCCTGATCTGCAAAATATTCTGTATCCACGAAGAGGGCCATTGATTCCTGATGTCGGTGCCTTAAAATGAGACAAGTAAAGAGCCCTACGTTAAAACCAAATTATACTCACATACGGTAGAGATTGGTTGGTAGGTCTCCCTTTGATTAGGAGGTTTTCTCCAGGTCCTCCGGTTTCAATTCCTCCCTCTTCCAGGGGCGGCGGAACCGGGGGGGAAGGGGGGCCGGAGGGG